TTGGCAACCTTTTTTTTTTCAATAAATTTGAATTTTTGCCATTTTTGGTCAGTTGTTATTATAGTCACCCAGTTTGAGGGATGGAAAACACCCTCGACTCACCTCCCACCACCCAAAAAAACAATAATGCCTGTTAGTTGTCACCTACGCCATGTCGCCATTACTTTAATTAGGCATTTGCCATTTAGACGTTAATATTAATTATTATGGCATTTCGTATTTTTATTTATTTTTATAATTTTTTTTATATATTTTAATACAAATATATAAAAAAAATTATAAAAATAAATAAAAATACGAAATGCCATAATAATACAATCTATATATATCTATCTATATAATAATTAAACAATCTCCACACAATCTCCTGATAAGAAATATATTATAATATTTATAGTATATGCTAGAGCTGATGGAATTTAATTGCAATTTACACTTTCGAACTAAATTAAATAACCGACCAGACATCATATACTCCCATCCATTCATAAATCATATTCCATATCATAGACATTAGAGTAGGTATTAGACAATAGTATAATATGGTATATCTGTAATATAGGTACTAATATACCTACTAAACTGTCTAAACCATATACTATAGTCTAATATTCTACATTATAAGTCTATGACCCCTATGTACATAGACGTATACTGATTACTTGGGGGAGGGAAACGGCCCCCTCAGATATTTAACTGAGTGGGCAATACTTTAATTTTACCTTATAAATTTTTAGTTTTACCACGAACTGCCCCCTCCCCCCAGAATTCACTGCAGATTAGAGATTAACGCCTATTATGCCTATTGCCTATGTATTAAACAGTGAACTGTATAATATTAGGTAGGTACTAGGTATACCATTACCGGTAATCGGTATACATATTGTAACGTGCAATATATATGCATCTAATAAGCAATAGCTTTAAATTATATTTCTGAATTGAATGTAGAAAATTCGAAAACTACCTACTCTCAACTATCAAGTATCGGTAGGTTGTAGGTAGGTATTCAAATTAATATTAAACATATACCAAGACAGAAAATAAAATAATTTATAGGTATTATGGGTGCATATTGAAGAAAAATATATTATGGATTTGTAAAGGTCTCATTTAAAAAGAAATTATTTTCATACATTTTTTATTGAATCGGAATTTGATTATAATAATATAGTTATTAATGGTTCATACTTCAAAATATGTGATATAATATCATGCTTCCTTTACAGTAAAACACGAAAATATAAGAGAGAATGACTTCGTCCTTCGATCCAAGTCGATTAACATTATTTGTATTTTGTACATTTACTATTTAAATTTTTGTATTTTATTTTCAGTGTAATTAAAGAAGTAGGTACTTACAATAGAAAAAAGGTGGGTAAGTGGATGTCGCTCTGCTGTACAGCAGGTTACAAGTGGGTCACTGTATAATTGATGCTATTAAATTTGAATTCAATGATACAATATCATTGTATAAGAAAAACGATTCTGAGCGAAGACGGTATGTCAGTCTAGGTTTAAGACAAATTATATACATATCTATGGTATTAAAAAAAAATTGACCTATAATAAATTCCAAATTAATCATATCACATTATCACAATATCCATTAGGTACTTATAACACGTTATACACCAACAACAAACCCTGATACACTTTAGAAGTTTCAAGTAGGTAGTAGGTACCAACGAATAATATTATATAATCACAACAAAATAACTAGGTTTTTTAATATGTAATTTCGTCCAAATTTGAACATAAAATGACTATAAAAATAAACTGTGATTGTATATTTTTTAGATTTTTCGGTAAGAGAATTAACTACTTACGTGGAATCTTGTTTTAAATTTTCAATCCTTAGCTATAAAAACTGAACATTTTATAATTTATTAATTACGATGATTAATAAATTTCGAGATTTTGAAAAATGCTGTCAAAATTCGATGTTTAAATGCTTATAAAAAAAAATTGTGCCTATGTATTTTTAATATTTTTCAACTGATATTGTAACAATATATCAGGAGCCTTGTATTAAATTTTTACACTTTTTGGCCCAACAGATAAAACTTAATTGATATTTATAGAAAAAAAAAACTAAAAAAATTGAAAACTGAAAATGTCCGTAAACGGCTCAAAAAGTGTCAAAATATTTTCAAAATTGTAGGGTGTATAGGAAATGCTAATATAAACATTCAGTGAAATTTTCATGAATCTACAGTAATTCGTTTTTTAATTACAACAAAAAAAGGAAATTGCCACATGAGAAATCGAGTGAATATCCAATGTTGTAAAAATTTGAATTTCAAACGCTCATAAAAATTTAATTTGACTTTCCGGTAGAGATTTTTTTATTGATAAAGGTAGACAATCTTATGAGTATTCTTGTATTAGATTTTCAAATCTTAGATTTAAAAAGAAAAATTTTTACGAATTCTTAACTCAAAATAATTTGCTAATTTTCGTGATTTTTCCATATTTTGTCAATTTTTGAACTTTAAATGCTTATAAAAAAAAATTGTGACTAAGGATTTTTAATATTTTTCATCTGCCTTTGAAACAACATATTAGGAGCCTTCTATTAAATTTTCAAGCTTTCGCAACCAACAAATAAAATTTTATTGCTATTTTTAGAAAAAAAACTAAAAAAAAATGGAAAATGAAAATGTCCCTAAACAGTTCAAAATAAATCAAAATATTTTGAAAATGTTATCGTGTATAGAAAATGCAAATATAAACAACCAGTGAAAATTTCATGTATATACGTTCATTTGTTTTAGAGTTACACCAATAACCAAAATCGATTTTTTGGAAAATCAATTTTGCGTAAAAATTCCCGTTTTTCCTTAATTTTTATGTTGTTTTTCCCGGCGCTTGTGAAAACTACTGGGAAATTTAAATTTTGACCTCCCCAATGCACCAACGATATTCACTTTCCAATCGAACAAGATACTGAAGTCGAAAATCGAAGCATTATTTCGACTACTTATCGTGTACACAGATACAAAAAAAATAAAAAAATAAAAAAATAAAAAAACACACATCATTGTAAAATCAATACATTCATCGTTTCACTCAGAATCTAAAACAAATATAATCAGTAGTATTTGGTAATGTTATATAGTAGGTACTATATTAATATTGAGACGAATATTATGAATACTGAATAATATTGTCATAGCATGTTATAGCCAAATTCCTGTTATCATCTGTTAATTGATTAAAAACAAAAATTAATAAGGCATTTGTTTATTTTATCGGGCGTCGACATTGTAATAACTAATTATTATTAATTATATATTATAAGATGTCTTTATGATTTATGCATATATTACATTGCGGAATTTCTGAGACAATTAATGGCTTCACAGCCTTACAATATTAAACAATATTGTAATATTGTTTAATAAGCAATCGCAAACCGCAAGGCGCAAACCCCAGTTATAATACAATACTTATTAAGTTGTACACTTGTCATTATTCTGATAATTGGATCACAGATTAAGTGAAATAAAATTGCGGAAATTAGAGATTAATAGATTGTTAATATCAAATGCAAAGATTATAAGTCAATACCATGTTGTATGAGTACATACTACAGAGTAGGAAATAGTAATCAAATTTTTTAATTGAAATATCTTTGTCACCCATAACCACAACTATTAAATTTGTATACTAAACAAAAAAATAAAAGTATAGGCACAATACAAAGAATGGATGTTGGATTAAACTTACCTCGTTTCTCTTACGTTTATGCAAGCTAATGACATATTGAGTTATTATTATTAATTAGAAAGCAATGCATATAACCTTACATTTGAAAAAATACTCTGAGCAAATAACTTGGTCATAGTGTAAATTAATACACTAGTGTACATTTCGACAAAGGTTATTAAAAAAAAGTGATACAAAATATACAGAATGTTTTCTTTACACCTGAGTCCCACCCATGTAATTTTTTAGTTAATGAGGTAGTTTTATCATTCATATTTTGAAAACTCCTAATTTAACTTCATTAATGTATAATCAGTATCACATATTAAATCTAGAGGCTATAAGAGCTTATGTAGTAGGTCTTCAACCTTATTTTATGTAATAATGGATATACTAAATCAATAACAGATCAAAGTGAAACTTAATATTACAAAAAGTTAAAAGCTTCCGACTATAGAATATTTAGTTAAAATTACATGTTAAAAAAAAATTAATACATTTTACCATTTTAAATTATGATTTATTCAAAACAAATTATACATTTGTTTAAACATAAAAAAAGTTAACACAATTTCTTAAATTAATACGAAAAAACCTTTAGAGTGACTAAATGTTAAAATCATTACCTGAAAAGCTCTGTAGTTTTTAAACAATATTGTAATTATATTTTGAATAATTTCTGCTAATAAATTTAATTATTTGATATTCAACTGAGAGTTACCAGGTCATCGGAGAAAATAGTTTTACATGATAAAAAAATTTCAATTTAATCAACCATACCATTTGTTTTATAACCAATTGGATAATTAGTACATAATATATTTTATTTATTTTTACATAACCAAAATGATATAATAATAATTTATTAAATTTTAAAACTAAAAGTTCACACCAAACAGTTCTGGATTCTATATAATGACATCAAAGCGAACACAAAGTAGCACTACTATTTTCTTCTATAAATTATAGTGAAATAGTTTCAGACTGGATAATAAAACATGTAATTTCTAATTATTTTATAATATCATTCATAACAAGTAAATTGATTTTCATTATTTAATCAAAACATAAAGAAGGGTTTAGAAGGCTAAATAATTATGTAATTATATAATTCAAGTATAACAAATTATGTGTTTTAATGAAATAATGTCTACAAACTTGGTTATTGTGGCACCAAAACTTAAGAATTGAAATGCATAAATTCGTAGGACTGAACCAAAAACTATTATTTTTTTTTTGGATTTACAAAAATTAAAATATGTTTTATATTTATCTATTACTTTGGAATGTTAAGTAGACAATTGCCCACTAGTAAGTAGCCGTTCAACAGCGGCATTTATATCTCCAAATGTTGCAATTAATGCTTGTAAATTAGCATCTCGATTGACAAATCCCATTGCAGACAATTGTTCCAATTGAGAACTGTATCTTTCTTCTGGCGGCTGAGTATTTGCCACTGGATTACTGTTATTTGGCACTTGTGATAGCTGAAAATGTAAATTAAGTCAAGGAGTTATTCATTTTTTAACACTATACAATAAATTAATAAAATAGTACTAAATAAAGTAAAACAAAACAAATAACTAAGCATTTATATTTAACTATTAAATAATAAATTATAATATGAATCAAGTATGAGCTCAATAAACAAAAAAATATAACTATTTAAGATTAAGTATCAAAACAACAAAAACAAGATTATAATTTTTAAATATCTGTTGTAAGCCATACATAATATTTATAAATATACACATTATATTCAAATGTAATAGTTTCATATTAGTTGTATGCTTGATTGTAGTAGCATTTGAAAAAGTGTTCTTAAGAGGCTTGATATTTGCCTGGCATTGGTTAAGAGGATGCTACCCATGCATTTGTCATCACAGCCTTACACATGTATGACATAGAAAATTTCCATTCACTATTTAGAGTGAATTACCTATTATCAAACTTTTAGGTAAAAACATAATCTGTGATTTTTCAATATTTTAATTTCAAGCGAGATATCTAGAATTTGTAATATTTTATATACCCATATCTTGCTTGAAAATTAAAATATTGAAAAATCTTTGATGCTAAAGCACAGATAATATTCTTACCTAAAAGTTTGATAATAGGTCAATTTACTCTAATATAAAAACTAATAGCACACTATTTAAACTAAGGAATGACAATTTGCTGCAGTAAATGTGTAAAACGGATACAACAAATACATCCTCAGAAGGCTGTTGGAGCATAGAATATTTTAAGTAGTAAAATTTAGAAATTGTGCAAAAACATTATTGGCAAATATTTGTCATTGTAAGAGTAGTAAATAAACCTTAGGTGTGTAACCCATTATCTGGGCCATTATCGTGTTATCGTAAAAAAACCGTTAAAATCGGTACAAAATAGCTATAAGCGGAAGATTGATTTATGTACTTCCCGATGTTCGATTTTTATTTTAAAAATATGTATGAATTCATCATCCCCTTAACTAACTTATGTAGGAAAAATAATTGATGTTTTAAAACTGAATGTAAGTGTATAAAATAAATTTTTTTTTAAATTTTAACATATTTTTTAAGCCTTATTGAATACAAAAATCAAAAATATGCTTCCTACATAACCTAGAAAAGGAGATGATGAATTCATACATATTTTTAAAATAATAATTGGATATCGGGAAGTACATAAACTAATCTTCTGCTTATTGGTCTAAAACTAAAAAAAAAATACGGTGTGCTTTTCCTTAAAGGTGAAAATTTAATGACATTTTTATCATCAACAATATTACTATTAGTCATCTTACGGGCATTTTATTCTAAAACAATACATTTAACTTACCATTCTTCTCATGAGTTCAGCAAAATTATTATCTTGACCTTCAGTTGATGGCATATCACTAGTTACAGTTGAATCAGCATTAGTAGTTGGATTGGCATTTGGTGTTGGAAAAAAAGACTGGCCACCCAATGATCCACCAATATTTGGCATGTTAGTACGTAGTGCTTCAAGGCCTCTTTGTATTTGATCAAGAGCAGATAACACATTTGGATTAGTGGACATGTCTTGAACTGCAGGGTTTGACATCTGTTGTAGGAAAGCTGGCATCATACTACGGAATTGAGACTAAAAAGAAAAATATTTTTCTTTTATAAAATTATATATATCTTTAACAATAATTACAAAAATGTATTGCTTTCTTACCTGAAGTTCTGGATTATTAGCAAGCAATGGATTGTTACTTAACAAGTTGTTAGCCATATTAGGGTTACTAGTCATTGCCTGCAGAGTTGATTGGAAATATGGAGTATTCATAATGCTTTGCATAACTTGTGGATTTTCAATCATTTGTTGCATCATAGAGTTCATTGTATCACCATTAAACATGGTACCTCCAGTTCCCCCAGTTGGTAGATTACCTGATGTTGGTGCTGCTCTTCCATTAGAAGGATCAGATTGGTTTGTTCCAGTAGAGCCACCCCAAGGATTTGGCAAAGGATCACGATTTTCTTGTCCTTGTTGAGGATTTTGTTCTGAAATAAAACACATTATATAAAATTAAATATAATTACTTGTTTATCACTTAAAAATAAAAATAGTTGCTATCTTCTCTCATTCACCTGTTAAATTTAAGATAGGCTAAGGGAAGGCATCATGGATCACAACATTACATTATAATTAATAAAATTTAAATTGTAAGCAAATTTAGATTTAAAACGTTAATAACAATAATAAAAAGGTGGACAAGTGGGTACAGCTCTGCTGTACAGTAGTTGGCGAGTATGTCATAATAATGGATATGTTATATTTGAATTCAATGATAAATCATAATAACTTAACGCTAAACTTAATTGTTTTGTTATAAGTAGAACATTTTGTTGGGAATCATTTATTAAAATTACTTATCTTAGCTATGAGAAGAAAAACTTTTATGAATTTCTAACTAAAAAATACTTTACAAAATTAGAAAAAATTATCATGGCTTTAAATAGCTCAAAAAGTGTCGAAATAAGTTGAAAAAGCTGATATAAATATATGGTAAACATTTAATGAGTTTAACGGTTATTCGTTTTGAAAATACATTGATCAATAATTTATCGCTGAATATCAAATGTAGTAAAAATAAAAGTTCAAAAGCTCATAAAAAAATAAAGTTCTGTTTAAGTACACTTTTTTTAGTTTGTTATAGGTAGAAAACTTATGCAAAATCTTCTATTAAAATTTTTAATCTTAGGTATGAAAAGAAAAACTTATATGAATTTCTAACTCAATAATAATCTATAACATTTAGTAAAATTTCTCATGGCTATTAATAGCTGAAAAAGTTTCATAATTGTTTGAAAATATTACCATGTATGGATAATGGTCGTTTTAACATTTCGTAAAAATTTCAAGTATCTAGGTTCATTCGTTTTTAAGTTACAACAAATTATCAAAAATTGTTTAATTTACCTATGAAAATCCAATATCGTAAAAATTTAAATTCAAACACTCATAAAAAATTAATGTTTCGTTTCAGTAGGATTTTTTTTTTGATTAAGGTAGGTAAATTTGGGAGGAGTCTTCTTTCAACATTTATAAAGTTACCTTTGAAAAATAAACCATTTATGAATGTCTAACTGAAAAAATTTCAATATTTTGTTGTATTTTGTCAAAATTTTAACTTCAATTGCATATAAAAAAAATCATGCATATGTATTTGCGATTTTTTGATCCCACATTTATGAAACTTATACTTAATTTTTAAGCTTTTTTACTAAGTGAAAAAGTTTTTATCAAGAATAGTTTAAAAAAAATTACAAATTTCTAATAATTTCTCAAGGCTATAACTAGCCCAAAAAAAGGTCAAAATATTATGAAAATGTTACCATGTATGTGAAATGCTAATATAAATATTTGGGGAAATTTAAATGGTTTACGGTTATTAATTTTTGGTTACACCAAAAAAATAAAATAGAATTCCTCAAAAAATTATCACTTTTCTTTCACTTTTCTTTTGTTTTATTCAACACTTTCTAAAACTACTTGGAATTTACAATTTTGACCTCCTAAAAGAACCAACTAGAGATATTTCTCTATTGTTTCCAAATATTAAAATAAATATAATTTATCTAAAAAAATTACTTAAATTTGTAATATATTATAAAGTATTTATTATTACCGCCACCACTTTCACTTGGAGTCGCAAATGTATTTCGGCTAAATTCTTCAGTAGCTGCATTCATAAATGGTTCTTGAACGTCTCTATACATTCTTTGTAAAGCACTAAAACCACCAGGTATTGATTCCAAATTTGATAAAGCTCTATCTTGCGTACGCATCAGTTCTTGCAACATTGATGGATTCCGAGCCATCTCCATTGTTTGCCGTAACATTTCAGGATTGTTTAACATGTGATTAATTTCAGGATGTCTCTACAAAAAATGGAATTAAATAGAAAAATAAAATTAGAAAAGATGATGAATTAGGTACCTCAACTAATTGTTGCATTTGTGGATTGGCTAAAATCAACTGCCTCATATGTGCAGGATCACTCATCATTTGTTGAACCATCGGACTGTCAACCAAATTCCTTAGCATATCAGGATTGTCAATTAATTCACGTTGCATACGCTGTTGCAATTCCATAAAATTAGCCGAAGTGAATCCCAAGGCTTCCATACCAGGTAAGCCACCCAGCATACCCAAATTAAACGGCGAAGCATTAATATCAGCTGAAAGTTATAAATACAGTTAAAAATAAAAATTAAAAAATTAAAAAAAACATTTAATTTATTTTAATCACCAGGAGGTCTTGGTGGTTGAGCCGATCCTGTATTTGTAGATGAAGAAGTTGTTGTGTTGTTTTGTGGAGCATTTGTCTTGATAACTAAATGTACTGTTAGCCCATCTTTAATATTATGAGTTGCTAATGTATCATGATCTTTCATGATTTTACCAGCAAATATCAAACATAATTGTGATGGTGTTGCATTAAACTGTTTTGCCACCACATCTTTAAACTATAATGAAAATGTACAGTAGTTTATAAAAAGCAAATTTTTATATTTTATTTTAACTATCATTAGTATATTGAAATAATTAATAAACATTTTACGATAGGTTAATCAAGGTAAAGTTAACTTAGTAGGTGTATACAAATATTTGGTTATTAATAATAAATGATTTTCAATAAATAAACATTTTATAATTTGTATTTGACAAAAAAATATAACTTATATTTATTTACATTATTTTGATAATATATTTATGATATTATCAATTTAAATGTTTAAATGTAAACCTAACAGTAGGTACCTGATTATTATGAATTTTTTTTTTTAATATAAAAGCTAACTAACTTGGGAATTTTTACTCTAGTGTTAAGAAATACCAATTTCAGTTTGGTTTCTTAATAGTAGTTGTATAATGCTCCTAATAATATTACGTAATATTATTAAGCCCCGTTCACACGATCAAATAATTTGTCAAACTCCAAATATTTTAGAACCATTTCTAAAATATTTGAAGTTTGACATACATCAAATATTTGACAATTTATTTGATCGTGTGAACGGGGCTTTAGACACTTACCATGGACAGAGTGAGTTTATCCATGGTGAGGATTAAAAACATTAGGTAAACACTGATAGACAAAAATCAGTAACTTATAATTTAAACATATTCTTGGGTGGTTATTGATTTGTTGTAAATTAAAATTTTTATTTATGGCTAATTTTGAGGATGTACCTATAACAGAGGATTATACTTAGGACATAGGTAATAGCTTTTAAGTTGGAGATATGATACTCTTCTTAAATCTGCTTATATATAGTAGTAATTGATTGGCAAATCAAGTTTAAGAAATAAATAAAAATCTTGAAATAGGCTACTGTGTACATTTACCATGTAACTGAATGTCTTAAAAAATTAGGTAGGTAGTCAATTTTCATATTTTATTTATGTTAAAAACCGTTTTCATTAATCGTACCACATATTATTATAGAATATATTATTTAGTACACCAGTAACCTTAACATTTATATATTATATTTTATATTACATAATATTATACCATATTTATAATAAATGGTAATTGTTTAATAAATCAATGCTTGCATTATATGTATTATTTTTTTAATACCAACCTGTATGCTTGTACAGATTTTAACAAATATCAATAAATGTAAGTTGGGTTATGTAATGCAACTGCCAATTAAGGTTTAATTAATGACAGATTCCTTTATTTTCATAATAAAACATCAATGCATTTCTTGGAAGTAGCTAAATTGCAATATGTTAGTTAGTAATTACCATAGTGGTTTCAAGTAGTATTAATAATCATTCACTGTTCGTGTACCTACTACCTAGCCATCAGTTTAAATAATATGTTTTTTAATAATTAAGATACTAAAATGAGTCAGCTGAAATAATTACATAACCTTAAAAACTCGAATGAATAATAATTATTTGATTTGTAACACAAGAAATAAATTGTGAATACCATTAATAATGAAAACCTATGACAACTCAAAATGATATTTTGGAAAACGTTCAAGCACGTACATAATATTATACTCTAATCACTACAATACATACGTGTATATTATATCAATATACATACTTCACTAATGGTAGCGTTTTCTTGCACTTCGACTGTTTGCTTTTCTTTGGGCGTTTTTACTGTCACAGTGATCGTCTTTGCATTCTCTTCGCTGTCTGACATTTTGATGAACCTATAGATCCGGACGGTGCAAAAATAACTCGGCAAAATATACTATTGATTAAACGCAGACGGTCGGCTAAAATGTTTAGAGAATTTCGGACGTACGACGAACAAGAAAATAATCGTAATTCATAATGATAATGATAATGACATGTATAAAGATACTAGGTCTTGGAATAAAATATTTGTTATAAGGAAGTTGAAAACATATGACGCTCTTCATGGAGCATAAACAAAATTGAACAAACACTTCCGTAGTTTTGTGCGCCATGAAAAACGCCGGTTTCCATGGTATTACTGATAAACGATACGCGCTTTTTCGATAGCGCTACTGCACCAGTCGTGCACGAGGTGAATTTTGAGAAATCTATAATTTACCGTAATACCGTATTATTATTTTAGTGGCCAGACACCTGCACCTTACTTGCTAATTTCGACTTGTATTGTAGTTGTATCATGAAATAACAACTTTTGGTTTTCAAACTTCTTTTATATCTAGATTTTGAATATTTGAGTTTGACCATTTTTCACCATGAAAATCGAAGAAGTAAAGAGTACTGTAAAAACTCAACGTATTTCAAGTCACAGCCATGTCAAAGGATTGGGTCTTGATGAATTCGGTGAAGCTATTCAAATGGCTTCTGGCCTAGTTGGACAAGAAGATGCTAGACAAGTATATTTTTTATGGTTACTCTTAATTGCTTATTAATTGTCGATGAGGAACAAATGTAGTTGGTTGAATATACACCTCGTTTAGATATTTTAATATATAATATTATATATTTTTTTTTAATCATGTATTTCAACTACCTAGTTAGAATAAATAGTTAGAATTTTTCCTCCGTGGTACTTATTATTAAACTAGGTAGTATAACTAAATGTTTCAATGTATATTACATTTAACCAGGCAAATACCGGTCTGATAATATTTTATCCTTTAGGCTGCAGGTATTGTTGTGGATATGATAAGAACAAGGAAGATGTCGGGCCGTGCTGTCTTAGTTGCTGGACCTCCAGGTACAGGCAAGACTGCAATTGCACTTGCAATTGCTCATGAACTTGGAAACAAAGTAAGTTATGTTTATCTTTATTAAATAAATAAAAATCCATATATATTGAAGAAAAGAAACCAAAATGACTAAAATATTGTTGCCACTTATTTTGGAAATATTAGGTTCCATTTTGTCCAATGGTGGGATCAGAAGTGTATAGTTCTGAAATTAAAAAGACAGAAGTATTGATGGAAAACTTCCGCCGTGCTATTGGTCTGCGTATTAAAGAAACAAAAGAAGTATATGAAGGAGAAGTTACTGAAATGACACCAGTTGAAACTGATTCTACTGCAGGAGGTAAAATTAAATGTTTTATTGAAATTTATCATTTATACAGCTAAGTTTAAAAATCTTACTGGGTAATTTACTGGGAACATCTGGTGACTTCTGCCTAAGTCATAAATTATTTTACATTGTTTAATTTATGTTTGTAATCTTTTATGCTTAAATTTTGTTGCAAATTATATTATGAATCTTTTAAATTATTTAAGATTGTTTTTGTGCATAGAGTACCAAAATTTTAACTTAAATAATTGTACCTGCAGGTTATTCTAAAACTGTATCACATGTCATTGTTGGATTAAAGACAGCCAAAGGTACAAAACAATTAAAGCTAGATCCTACAATCTATGAATCCCTACAAAAAGAAAAGGTCGAAACTGGTGATGTTATTTATATTGAAGCTAATAGTGGAGCAGTGAAACGTCAAGGAAGAAGTGATAGTTATGCTACAGAATATGATTTGGAGGTAATTTATAAAATAATATTAAGAAGTTTAGTATAGTATGATTAGTTTAACATAGACTCAATTCTCAGTCAACAATAAAGACCCCAAAATGTCAAAATTGACTGCACATAAAAATAACTTAGATTTAAGTGTACACATTCATTGTAGTATAAGTGAACTTATTAGTAACAATGTTTTTTTTATTTAGATCTAAAAAAGCTATTAAGGAAATAATTTCATATTCCTTGGTCTATACGTGATAATTATAATTTTTACATAACTTAAATGTTGTATTTTTATCTAGGCAGAAGAATATGTACCTTTACCAAAAGGTGAAGTCCATAAAAAGAAAGAAGTCATCCAAGATGTGACATTACATGATTTAGATGTTGCTAATGCCCAACCAAAAGGTGGTCAAGATATACTATCAATGATGGGTCAATTAATGAAGTCTAAAAAGACAGAAATTACTGGTAAATTTTTATTAATATTACATCTTATATACAAATTGTTAACTTTATTTTTGTTTTAGATAAATTAAGAAAGGAAATTAATAAAGTGGTAAATAAGTATATTGATCAGGGTATTGCTGAATTAGTCCCAGGGGTATTATTTATAGATGAAGTTCACATGCTTGATTTGGAAACATTCACATACTTGCACAAAGCATTAGAAAGTACCATTGCTCCTATTGTTATTTTTGCTACCAACAGAGGTCACTGTACCGTCAGGTTTGATTTTTTTTTTAACTTAACTTATTATTTATTAATTATTGTTTTTTTTTTTGTTTCAATTGTTATTATTTTTTTTTACAGGGGCACAGATGATATTATTGCTCCTCATGGAATTCCCATGGATTTACTTGATAGATTGTTAATAATCAGAACTCTTCCATATAATCGGGAAGAAATGGAAAGTATACTTAAACTTAGAGCTCAAACTGAAGGCCACTCAATTGAACCTGATGCATTACATTACCTTGCTGAAGTTGGCACTTCTACTACTCTAAGGTAATTTGTTTTGCAGTATTTATATTTTATACAACCTAGGATGTTACCGTATAAGAGAATATCCTCATCCCCTACAGCTATTGCTGTACAACTATAAATTACCAACCTGTGATAACTGTTTGCACAATATACTCCTAATAACTACAACCTTAGTACATGTCGATGACAAAATAGATTTATATTAGAAATACATTTTATAGAAATTTATTTATACATACTTTAGTATAATATGCCTTAAAATCTACTCTCTCTACAGTACAAAATATGAGATGACTTAAATGCTCGGACTGTATTAATGTATTCATATATTGTCTGTCTCCGAAAAAGGTACCTCATCTTCACAAAATCCATACATTATTGCGCATCCACACCCTGTACCACAACTAGGTCCACCATCACAATCGGTTAGCTGTTAAGACGACGGTCGGGATAGCGAGTAAACACTAATGTTGTATAAACGGCGGCAACGTGAACCGATCGTTCTCTGTCGTGGTGTATTGGGGTACCGATAGAGCTCTTGGAGCATGCTTGGCGGTCTGGCATCAGATCGTAACTCAGTCTACATGCACGAAACCGTACCTTTCTTTCGTGATACAGAGTACAGACCTTAGAATTATGAAATTAAAGTATATTCAGATTGGATTGTTGAGAAAAAATTGTATTCTTGTACGGTATAGTTCAAACCATAGAATTGTGGAATTCAAAAAAATGTGTGCTGTATATTTATATGTATTCCTTTGAAAACAAAATAATACGTGGACATAAATGTTTTCTTATTTTGTCATTGAAGTATATTTCCAACTTGTGGTAGATTTAATGGTTGTTTAGTATACATTTGAGCAAATAACCCAGTGTTCCCACAGGCCTCATTTATATTTTGTTCTGGATCCCACCTGAAATACAGAGAATAGGTGTTTTAAAAGGTAGTTATGTCACAAGCCACTAGGCCCCTCTTATATTTTTGCAAATTTCATTAAGAGGACGTCGCACCTGCATGCATTGTCTTTGTCATACACATGGACAACAGCAAATTTTCGTTGGCCAGTTTCAATAGTGTGCTGTTAGTTTTGATATTAGAGTGAATTTACCTATTATCAAACTTTTAGGTAACAACATTATCTGTGTTCTCTCGTTGGTTTTTAGGATATTTTAATTTTTAAGTGAATTATGAGCATTTTCAAATATTAATGTTTTACCTATTCATAATTTAATTAAAAATTAAGATATCGTAAAATACCAACGAGAGAACACAGGAAATGTTGTTACTTTAAAGTTTGATAATAGGTCAATTCACTCTAATATCAAAACTGACCACACTAATGAAACTAGCAAAAAAAAAATTTGCTATGCCGTACGTGTGTAAGACAAAGACACATGCGGGTGGCTAATGTTTTTCATGTGTACAAAATATTGTCAGAGTTGATTATGCCATTGAATTTTGTCTAGTTTTGATATTCAATGAAATTATCGTATGTAAATCTTAGCTGTTTATACTTAATAGTGAATACCATACATGTACTTTACTGGTCAGGAGCATTATTTATTTATCCCATCCATAGTGGTTTAATTAATATAACAAAAGGGTTGGGTCTCTAATGTGTTCACAATCTGGGTTTTAGATATAATTTTATAGTCGTATAGATCATGTTTTATTTTTGTATGAAATAAATTTTCTATGAATTTTAATGTTCTAAAAACTTAAAAATGTCACTATGTAAATATTATGGAACATTTTTATATTTTATTTATAAAATATACACTAAAAATTAAATTGGTTTTTAATTTTTATCAGATATGCCATTCAATTATTGACTCCATCATCACAAAATGCCAAGATGAATGGACATGGATCAATATTAAGAATAGATATAGAAGAAACTACGTCATTATTCATGCATGCTAAAGAATCATGTAAAATACTAAAGAAATGTGCTGATAAATTTATGAAATAATTTGCAACTTTATTTATGATGTTTATGTACTAATATTTACTCAGATTTTTTTTTACTAAATTATACCAATTTCCTGTTTTCAGTAAGTACAAATAAAAAAAAGATATATAAATCACCTATACTTATGTAATTATTTTAATATTTTAATTACTTGAAAAAGATGTTGATACAGACTTCAAATATATACCTACCATGGCTCTTGTTTCCTTGTCAACCACCGCCCCGCAGTGCTTGAAAAAAGTGCACTTACTTTTAACAACCTGGTTACTGGTGATCCTGTTAGCTGTTGCTCATAGTAACAAAAATCAATTATATTCTATTATTTTGGTTATTAAATCTGACCATGTCAGAATTAGCCATATTGTAGATTCCAAGAGGAGAGATGAATGTATTGAATTTACAAAGATGTTTTTCTTTATTTTGTGTATTTATATACACTAAAGTATTAAAAATAATGATTTGATTTTCAACAATAAGGGTGGATTCTGATGCTAAATTTATTTGTTCAGAATCGTTTTTCATATACAATTATATTATATCATTGAATTCAAATTTAAAAAAACCATTTCAGTCAGTACAACACAATACTGTACAGCTAAACGGTACCCACTTGCCCACCTTATGTTTATTTCACATTTTAACATTGTATTCGTTGTTACGTGCTGCCCCTTCAGGGATTCAGAAAGATGATAGTTTGAAATAAAATGGTAGTCAAATTAGGGCAGTAAATGTATGTTTGTTTATTTAGAACAGAATAAATGTGTATGTCGTCGTATTTTATTATGCTTCTTTTAAGTACAATCTCGGTCCAGGTACATCTGATCTTGCTGTCTCTAACATGTCTGGCTCCTTTCATTTGATCGGTTGTCCTTCTCAGGTGTCCTTGAGGTGGATGTAGCCGTTTCGAAAAGTGGTTATTCTCACAGTGAGTGAAACCATAGCCCTGCCGCCTCGTAATGGCCATTCTGTTATTGTCACATTAGTTTATACGGAAATACGGAATGCATAGACAATACTATTGAATGGTCAATACTCATTACATAAATTATTTTAACATTTACTAAATGTTCATAATTCCCACCACAACTAGCTACAAGACATTTATTAAGAAGCTCTTTGCCAAACACGGATCACAACCATAGATAATAAAAACATAGAACAATAATTGATAAACACAAGAATAGGACCACGGCATAGAAGATAGATATTAAACCATGGTTTGTTTTTATCTTGGCCGTGAATTGATTACGTGTCTTGTGATATCTGATTAGATAATAATATTATTCAAAACTTTTCAAAATAAAAACAATCTCCAAATTAGCAAGTACTAAGTAGTAACCTACCTACTAAACGTTTGAACAGTAAAAAGGTGATTAAATTAACATTTCGTCACCAACATTTACATTTTAGTATGTTACCTTGTTGACTATACCTGAAGAATTTTGACTGATGTAACATTTTATTTTTGTCATTTCATTTAAATATTAACAATTACGTTCAATTTGAATAACTTAAATTTTTATTTTTATTTGAGTTACTAAAAACATTTGAAATGGTAGACAATCAAGTTACTTTTCCAGACACTGTCACAGTACTAAAATCATCAAACGGTTCTGTAGTTTATCTTGTTGGTACTGCTCATTTTAGTAAAGAGAGCCAAGAAGATGTCGCTCAAGTATATTAGGATATAAAATATTAAGATATATAAATATAATATTCACTTATTATTGGTTTTTTATTTAACAGGTAATAAATGCAGTCAAACCAGATGTTGTTGTAATAGAATTATGCTATAACAGGAATAGCATATTAACAATTGATGAATCCACTATTGCCAATGTTTCAGGCATTACATTTGGTATTTATATTATTGATTCATTTTTACTTAAACGCTACCTATCTAAAAATAGCAAAAACAAAAACATTGTGAGATAGAGTCCAAAGTATGAATTTTTGACCGCGTTATGTTTTAATGTATGGTAGACATTTGAGTCCAGTGTTCGATAAATTACTTTACTCATTATGTAAATTAGATTATGTACATTTACAAGGTTGTATTCCATCAATAATAAATGGAAGTAAAAATATATTTTCGGGGTGATGTACAATAAAAATATGAGTCAAAAAATTAACTAAATTATATAATTATTTTTTAAATAACCCTACTAATACTAGTAAATAATAATATTAATTTTGAAAGGGGTCCAGATTTTAAGAATAATTGGAAGGGTGTCTAGATGACCAGATTAGACATACCTACATAATAATATTATTCAGTTGACTGAATAAAATTAATGTTTAATGTATAATAGTAAATAATTAAAATAATTACTTTGTTATAAAAATGTTAAATTATGTTATTCCAAAAATATCCGTTTATAATAAAAATAAATGTACAAAACTTATAATAGTTATCACTTATCAATTATCATTATATACGTTTATACTAATGCCTATACCACCCCTGTCCTTTCCTCGAGATAAAAAACATAATACATAATTAATACCGAATACTTTGTTATGATTTGAAATAATGCAACTAATACAAATTTGTAATTTGATTTTTGATTTTTATAGAAGATTTGAAAGGGTCAATTAAAAAATTAGGCCTAACTCAAGGTATATTTTATCAACTGATGATAAATATATCAGCAAATATATCTCGTGATCTTGGCATGATACCAGGTGGTGAATTCCGTAGAGCTGTCATTGAAGTATTAATTTCTTACAATTTTTCCTATTATGGTTTACATAATTACATGTATATTTATATTTATATTTTTTTTTAATTAAAATTTAGGCTAAAAAATATAACAGCCACATTTATCTAGGTGATAGACCAGTTGATATCACTATAAAAAGAGTGATTTCAATGTTGAGCTGGCCTAAAAGCATTAAACTTCTGGCACACTTGTTATTTACTGCGGATTTTAAAATTACGTAAGTTTTCATATTACTTTTTATCAAATATAATTTATAAAATTTAAAATATTTATTAAAATTAGAAAAGAAGATGTCGAAAAATTTAAAAACAAGGACTTACTAGAAACTTTAATGCATGAAATGGCTGCTGACTATCCAGAGTTGGAGAGAGTAATAGTTGATGAAAGAGATAAGTTCTTAACTTATAGTTTGCAAAATTGCGCTGGATTTGTAATTGAAAAAACTGGCAATAAGCCTAATATATTTAATTCAAGTTAGTAAAAGAATAAATGCAAAATTGTTTTTTATTTATTTATAAATGTTTGAATGATAACAATAATAGTAATTATAATTTAAAATAGGACCTCAAGTTATTGTTGGCGTAGTTGGATTAGGTCACGTTGCTGGTATTAAAAAATATTGGGAAAAAATTGCTGATGAGCAAATTGCAGAACTAATTATGTAAGTTATTAGTTGATTTTTTTTACATATCTTTAATGAATTTGTGTAAATACAACATATACAAATTTTACTATACCACATAGATTCTTAACCTTTTCTGGGCCATGGACCCCTTTGAAGTATATAATCACGGACCCCTCCCCCCCCAAAAAAAAATAAAAAATATATAAATATTTTATTTTAATATTTAATTTTTTTTAATGATAAATCCAAGACTTAATACTACATTCAATTATTGTGAATTATCACTTTTTCTTAAAGCCAAAAACCAATTTTAATGTGACATTAGCGGTTGTTTTGATTGCAATATTGCCTTGAAATCTGGGACTGTATTTTGGACAGAGCAACACGCATATCGTTCTTAATGTTCAATCGATTTCTTGCTTTATTTTAATTGTGACCATTGCAGAAAATCCAGAATCACAGAGATAGGTAGTAGGAAATGGAATCAAAAATGTCATTGCCATGGATATAGTTCGCGGATAAGCCTTCGTCAACGAACACCAAAATTCGATTAAATTATTTGTTTAAAAATCGTGGCTTGCTATTTCTTTTGATCTTAAATCAATTAATTCGTCTTTAACGAGGTCTGAATCATTAATTGTATTTAATTCCACTAGAAAAGGATTGCTTATCCATGTTTCTGATTTCAAAAATGTAGAATCGAAATAATTGAATGAAATTTAAATCAAATGAATAAAAAACAAGATTGTTGCTTAGTGGCAGAATGCGGGCAAGTCATTATTAATGTTATCTTAAAAACGCTATCGAAACAAATTTATTTTTGGGTTATCTAAAAAAACTCACAGTCACCCTGTGGACTCCCGAGTAATCATCTACGGACCCCCAAGGGGTTAATTGACCTCTGGTTAAGAACCTATGCTATACTACTAAGATTAAATAAAAGTATCTGGTGTTGTACACAATTTTATTATTAAATTTAAGAAAAATATTTTAGTCTAAAATCTAAAATGTTGATAAATTATTTTTGTTTAGAATTCCACCTCAATCAAGAAGTAGCAAAGTTATTAAAGTTGTCATCAAAGTTTCTGCCTATGGTTTACTTTTATGGGGTGTTTCAAAGATCCCTGGTGTAAGATCACTATCAAAAATGGCTTATGAAGCAGTTACTTCTACTTCTACTTCTCTTGTTCAAGGGAAATTTATAAAATTACAATAAAATATAATAAATCATCATTCCAATATATTTTATGGTATGTATAGGAATCAACTTTGAATGTCTATATCACTATATTAGTTAATAGTTTTTTAAGAGTACATCTTACCAGCATAATATAATATTGTCTCCATCTAATTATGCTAATTCATAATATACCAAAATATATGTCCAGGCTGTCCAGTGGTTCCAATTTTTTATTGTTATCTTAAATAGAGTAAATTGACTTATTTTTAAACTTAAATGTGAGAAAATTATCTGTGTTCTTTCTTTGGTTCTTTGGTTTTATATTTAAATTTTTAAGTGGATTATGAGCATTTTCAAATATTAATATTTTACATAGGTACTCATAAAGTCATAACTTATATTATACTATATGTAAACTAAATTTGGACAGTCCTTAAGCTGTGTAATGTTGAAATGGGATGAAATCTTTTATGCTTTTATACTTCCTAACCGTTCAAAATATTGATAAATATGAATAATTTATGAATATTATTATGTTTTAATCAAATAAATCAATTTAATAATTAAGATTTCACTGTATCAGTAAAGCTCAATACTTCAATAATAAAAGTAGAACATATGAAATACAATGTAACTTATTTTCATATTTTTTAAAGTTATCAATTTACCTTGGGTACAGATTTGTGGCAAATGGGGCAAGTGCCGAAGGGTGGCAAAAGTTGTAACATTTTAAAGGGTAACAGATGTTTAAATAGAGGTGCGAAATATTATTGTCATGGAACTCCAATGAAAGTTAGCATGGACCTACTTAATAATATTTATCATTTATTTTTAATCATAAGGCACTGTAATGCTATAATAACATGATTCTACTAATTTTAACCACTGAATTTTGACCTATTCAACCTACGTATTAAATATAAGATATCAATATATTTTGAAGATTCAACAAATATTACCCGCTTGCTTAATTTTTTGGAGCAATTATACACCAAAAAATAACTACTAATATACTTGATATTAAATATATAAAATATTAATTAGTATACATAATCGAATCTGAATAAATTGTATGGTGTCTCACACGGCAGTCACTTTCTCCTTTATTGTAAACTAATACAAATAAAAACTAAATTTTTTCTTTATTTCTTCAACAATTTAACTAAACAAACATCATTGGTCAATGTTAGCTTAAAGTTTTGACATTCTACTTCATTTTTCAAAAACCATTAACATATAGGATCTAGAATAAAACTGTACTACACTATTTTACATTGTGGATCTTAAGTGTTTCCTTTTTTGTAATTTGGTGTATTTTAATATGTAATAACTATTAATTATTTATATTAACTATTTTTATTAATAATATATTAATTATGGTACTTTCTTATTTTTGTTTCAGTTATAAATAATAAATTGCAAATACAACTGTTCTAATAATGTTTAGTAATAATCAAAGCGAGGATAATTATGATCATATTGATGATTCACTTATATATTCTTCAACAAACATTCCAGGACCTGGTTGTAATATGAATGATTTAAACAGCTGTCCCAATCAAATGTGTAATTGTACTAATTTGTGTCAAACACCAAGTTGCGAATGCATTAGTACAGTTGGCTATAATAATTATGACAATTTTGGCAAACTAATTTCAAGTAATAGGTTTATTTATGAATGTAATGATTTATGTAAGTGTACTTCGTGTCAAAATCGAATTGTTCAACTTGGACCAAGAATTGGTTTGCGCATTTCTCAGTGCAACAAAGGTTATGGATTATATACCGATATTAATATTGAAAGAGGACAATTTGTTTGTGAATATGCTGGAGAAATAATTGATTTAACTGAAGCAGAGAGACGTTCTAATGTAGATCACGAAAATTATATATTTGTGATAAACGAACACTTTTCTGGAAATTTAACTACAACCGTAATTGATTCTACCATTATTGGAAATATTGGTCGATATATTAATCACAGTTGCGAACCCAATTGTATGATTGTGCCAGTGCGGGTTGATTCATTAATTCCGAGGCTAGCAATTTTTGCAATAAAAGATATTCAGTGTAATGAAGAAATTACATATCATTATGGAGGTGAAGGATCTCGCCCTCAAATTCATTTGTCCGAAGTTAAATGCTTATGTGGATCATTTAGTTGTAACAGATTTTTACCTCGTAAAACAGGGTTATTTTAATGTTAAGTATATTTAACAGTTGTGTATATAATATATATTCTTTAACGATAGTTAAATACTTAAATGTAAGAATAAAATATTTATAATTATTAATTATTAATTGAACATTCCTGAGTGAAAAATAAAATTAAATGTAAGTCAAATATTTTAAGATTAAAACATGTCAACTTTGATAATAATTTATGTAGTAAAATTAGTTAATTTTTATTTTTAAATTTGGATATTGTTTTTGTTTTGTAAATAATATTGTATTTTGTATTTACAATGATTTTTAAAATATAGATTTCTTTCATTTTTAATCTAAACATACCTAGTAGGTAATCGTTTGTTTTTCAATTATTTCGATTTATTTGTAACTTTTGTGATAAACAGTGTTCCAAAACCAAAATGATCATACAAATCAATATCCTTCTCTATCCATTGAATACATTCACTGTAATTATCAAATGTACTTATATGACTTTTAGTCTTAAATTTTACTCAATAGTTTAATTATCAATCAATTTCTAACTAAACTCACGTTTTATACATTAATTACCATACTCTGTTCAAAATAAGAACAGACCTCAGCAGCGGTAGTCAGGTAACACCCGTTTATCACTCCTACCAAGTCACTAATCTATACAAGGTGATTCATTAAGCGTAAAACACTCATTATCTCAAAAAGTATTAATGTTTTTGAAAATACTTATTTACATACTTTCAATTGTTAAAAAACAACGTTTTTATTAAAAAATCATATTTTTAAATATTTTTTAAGTTTTTTACTTTTTTCAATGACAGCATAGTTTTAATTTCATATTCCAAATCAGAATATTTTTCTTAGTATGTTGATACATAAAAATCGAATTTAGGACGAGTAGTTTATAAGTTATAAGTATTTAAAGTTTAGACAAGCGGAGTAGTGGATAAACATTTTGCGGGGTAACCCCATACCACTGCACACCGCCCATCTAAACTTTTAATACTTATAAAGTTATAACTCATAAAGTACTAGTCCTAAATTCAATTTTTATGTATCAAAATACTTAGTAAAATATTCTGCTTTAGAATATGAGATTAAAACTCTATGCTGTCATTCAAAAAAGTAAAAAATTAAAAAAATTATAAGGATAAAAAATATAACTTTTTAATAAAAACGTTGTTTTTTTAACTTGAAATTGTGTAAAAAAATATTTTTGAGATAATGAGTGTTGTACGCTTAATGAATCACCCTGTATACCTGCCGTGTTGTATTGCCAAGTTGCTGCGCACAAGCCGGCTGCCAAGGTCTATTCTTATTTTAAACAGAGTATAGATAATTTTTCTTGAAATAAATTAAGTTTTTCCAGCAGATGTTAATCCTGTATAATTACATATTATGCGTAAAATATTAAGCATAAATTGAATACCTATTAGTTATTTCTTTTAATAGAAGAACCCTTTGCATATACATGATTATAAAAGTGGAATTCAATTTCTATAGATATTAAATTGAAATGAAAAATATAACACAACTTAGTATGAAAAACATATATTTTAAACAAAAGTTCATTTTATTTTGTTTTTGGAATTTTACGATCTCTATTACGATTTTTAACATTTGTAACATCATAGAAATCACTCCCAACCTTTTTCTTTTTATTTCGTAACATCAAGCTTCTTTTTTGTTTGCTTGTTAGACTACTGATATAAGCCTCGTGTGCTTCTTGCAGTTTTTCTTCTTTTTCTTTCTTTTTCTCTTCTTCCTCATCGCTATCAGTTGAAGTAGCATTTTCATCTTCTTTTGTGGTTAAAGGAGTATTTACAGTTTCATCATCAGAATCATTTTCTACAGCAACATTCAAATCAGTTCTCTTAGTTATTGGTTCTTGATCAATAGCTGATAGAGGTTCTTCGAAACCAGGTGGTGGATTATAATAAGGAATTTTTCCTCTTTGCCAATCATTTAATACCATTCTAGCACATAAGGCCAGGTCCGCATCACCACCTTTTAACAATTTACCAGATTTTATACCTAACTGCGATAAGAAATCTTCACTATCCTCCCAACTTTCTATTCCATAAGTTTTAGACAAATGTTCAGCTTTTACTCGTTCCATTAAAGGTGGTATATATTGTTCTGGATCTGGCACAAGCTCAACTCTAACAACACCCTTTAATACTTTTTCCGTATCTGTTTCTAAATTAGCGGCGTCATATACTACTCCTGGGCAGTCAATGAGAAATATCCTTTTCATTAATGTTATGTACTGCCAAACTTTAGTTTCACCAGCAATTGGAGCTACTTTACAAACTTTTTTAGATCTTAAAGCATTGATTACAGAACTCTTACCAACATTGGGATATCCTATGAAACCAACACTGATTTGTTTACGTTCAGAATGTAATTTTGTGAACTGTCGCATTAAATTAATCACAGCACCTTTTCCAAAAGGATGAGTAAGTGAAGCATGAAATGCTACTGTTGGATATTCAGAACTAAGAATAGCAACCCATCTCTGAGTAACCCAAACAGGTACCAGATCGACTTTGTTTAATACAAATATTAAATGCTTGTGAGGTTTTTCCCTTTTTAAAAAATTCTCAATATGAGGACAGCGTGTTCCAGTAGGGTCCCTTACGTCCAAAACCATTACAACAACATCCGATGAGTCAATTACTTTATACAATTCACCCCAAATACGTCTACTTTGACCAGCAGCCATTATCCAATCCCGAGGAGCAGTTCTTTCTCCTGTATCCTCTCTTTCCAAGTCCATATCTTTGTCATCTGAATATGACTCATTGATAGAATTTACAGTTTCCGATAATTGTTGTTCATCCCTTACCAATATATTTGGACGCTTGCGGGTTTTTTTGGAACCAAAGACACTTTCAAAACTTTCAGTTTCAAGAATATGCACACGTTCATGTTTTTTTTTCTCATTTAAAAGTGTAATTGGCAATCCAGTAGGTTTCATAATTATATCATATGGGTTTTTAACTGCTTTACCTAATTCTTCTTGAAATTTTTGTAAAGCATTTTGCCCAATGACTCTAGTATTGTCAAACCATTTACGATTAGGTTCTACACGAGCCTGAGCCCCACATGGTAACCAACCTTGAAATGGTGCTGCATGAATGATTTTACCTTTCCTATCACGTTTGGCTTTGAAGTTTCTATACATTTGCAATCTTTTTATGGTAGCTTTTGTTCTCACCTTTGCTACACCTTTGAGATTTTCAGTTTTACGTTCTGGATTCATACTATGGGCGGACCTATTGAACCCTTGAGTTCTAGGCGCCTTAGTAGCGGAGCTTGTCTTAGCCATTTTTACCTATAAAAATATATTGAATTAGTATGCAATAAGTCAAATGTGTATTAGGCCTGTATATACATATCATACATATGTAATGTGTGTACCTCTATTTATTGAAATTAATAAATTCCCAAGGTTATACAAATTGATTTTCAATTAAATTAGTTAGACAAAGGTCCTCATAAGAATCTTGAATTTACCTATCTGTCATCTGTGCTTTACAGTAAGTGTATGAGATCAGTTCAGTGTTTATCTGCTTAACTAAATTTAATTGTTTGTTATAATTTTTAAAAATACTGTATTTTGAACAAATTTTATAAAAACAAATTTCTAAAACTAAGTAGGTACAACAAGACCAGAAGATTGGGATTTGGATTAGAACAGATAATTTAATATTTTGAAAAATAAATAAGGCTGGACAAACTTGATTAACACCCAAAGTCAATGGATCAACATTAAAGTATTTAGGTATCTATAGGTATGAGAATTTCCTAGAATCAAATATTTGAAGAAAAAAAATAAATCTAAAAATACATGTACGTACACCAATAAACCTAATAACTAAATATTTAAATTAGTATTAACATTTATCATTGAGTTTAGATATAGTATAGACTAGAGAGCCTTAATAATTATTATAAATCTATACTATAGTATCTATACTCAATGGTATTATAAATTAGTTAATAAGTCTATGGGTACACTAATGATTTTCACGGGGAAGGGATGGTTATCAACACTAATGTTTAGAGCAGAAAGCAAAATAAAAAGGTTATTAAAAGTGTTATAAAATGACAGTGTACCGGTCAAATATTTACGTAATAGTTCACAAATCTGGCGATGTAAATTATTTATTTATAAATTGTTACTTACTTTTTTTTATTTCTTGTATGTTCTTGTAATCCTCTGCTAACTACTGGACAGTGGAGACTGGTAGCAGTAGCCTACTAGCCTGTACCCAGTTAGAAGTAACTATTTTTTTATAGTGTTGTGGCCTGTAGCCTGTGAGCACGAGGCAGTGTCGTCGAGTAATCGACAGTCTTATCGTGTTACTTCAATTCAGTTATCACTTTTATTATTCAACTCTTATCTTTCTAGTTACAATCAATTATTTTACGGCAGTGTTGCCTTTCTATATATTAGTACAAAAGATAGATTATACATTTAAAAAAATGTGTATTTAGGTGCAAAATTTGACCTTACAAGTTACAAATGTTACAATTTACTTACGAAATTGTATAGTAATAGTAATAGGTAATAACTAACAAGCTAAAATAACTGAAAATCTTACAATATTATGCAAATATGCACTGAAATAAATGTAATTAAGATTGTAATAAGAAAACAGAATAGATGATAACAGTGGCTAGCTTTTTTTATCTATGTAAATTAGTTAATAGTAAATATTTATTTATATTTGAATAATGATAAAATTTAAATCCAAATTCTTAACTAAAAAGTCCAAGTTAATAATTATTTGAACAGAAATAATTACTAAATAGTTAGTACTAGTATTTATTAACATTTAACATGAAAGTGATTTAAAAATTACAAACCCAGTTTTCTAATTGTAGAATCGAAGTCTGTTTTTATAATACACCTCTAAAGTTATAATTTAAAATTTAAATGTCTAAAAACAAATTTGTTGCACAATATTTTTGCGTTTGTGATCAATTTTACAGCCAGAAACGTCAATTACGCAAACATATCAGGCTTTGCAATTATGCCCAAAACCCTGGTGGAAAATGTTTTTTGCAGTATCCAGTTTCTAAATGTGAACTCATTTATATAAATGGTAATCAAAACCCTAGTAACGTCCGGTCAACTGAAAGATTCAAATGTGGATGTGAAAAGAGTTTTATGTCTAAAGGCGGTTATTACAGACATATAAAAAAGTGTCAACTACGTCCTAAACAACAGGTTGTAACTGGCAAAACTAAATGTAATGAACCTGGATGTTTATTGACGTTCAAGTACATAAGAGACTTTCGACAACATTTAAATGAGAAGCACCAAATACAATTTGATGTTGAGGACAAAAAATTTGATACATATTCTGGTAAATTGTATGGATATTTTCAGTTTTATTTTTATTTTTTATTGAAAACTTGATTCAGTACATAATTATTATTTACTTAGGTACTAGTATTTAATAGTTCAAATGTTTGATATTTTTCACTACAAATCACAGAGACAATAAATGCAAAATACTGTATTAGTTAATGAAGCTTTTCAGATATTATAATATTGGTCTAATTTACTGAGCTGGGGCCATAGCGTTGGTAAACAAAGTCGCCCCCTTAAAATTTATAATACACCCATATAACTACCTACCATGTTTCAAGTCGCTGCACCATATATGAATCAAATTTTACCTCCAAGTTACCTGTTGCAGAAATATTACAATTTATACATGGTATGGGTTGTACCATATTAAAATCAGCTAATAGATTCGAGTATCTACCACATAAATTTGAGCTGTTATATTGTTTATAATGCAGTCTAGACATCTCTCTATAATATGCATATCAGTAAAAACAGTTCAGTACAGTGGCGCAACCAGTGGGGGGGGGGGGGACTCCGGGTCTGGACCCCTCCTTGGCACGTATAATATGAGGTATATTGTTTATATAATTAAGATAGATGATTTATATTGTCAGACCCCCCCCATGAAAAATTCCTTGTTGTGCCACTGGTTCAGCAAATTAGGCTGTACCTATTTTATACACACTAATAATACAATTTTAGAGGATATTATAAACAGTTTAGATTTAGTAAAAAGTACTTATCAATACATTTTAAAAATATAATTTATAAAACATGAATCTTATATTAAGTATTATATATTTTATTTTTTTTTTTTTGTAATTAAAATATTTTATTCAATCTGTTTCAATACATGAATAATAAGAACAATTGATGAAAGTAAAAAATAAAATAAAATAAAAATAAATGACAGATTATCCCGAATGTAGAGGCCTCCCAGCGGAGGTACTACGACGAGTATTATATATGTTGTTCTTTTTAAAATTAATCTGTTCAAATTTTGTTTTTTTTTTGGTAAACTTAATATGCCTGCCTAAAGGGCATATTTAAATTACTTGGGATTTTTATTTTTTGAACTATTATTTTTCCGTTTGTCGATATTATTGATTGGCTTGTTGATTTAACTGTGCTCTGTTGCATAATATTTTTAATAATTTATTTACAAAATCAAATGAGGGGAAAATATTAAATAATATTTAGTTATTAATTAAATTATATTTTGTTATTAATTTAATACCATATTATTTTCAGACTTTTTAAATTGGAAAGTTAATTATGAATCAGAAACTTGCAGTTGCTTTTACCATCGTAAAAATTTAACACGCAGTGGGCGTAGAGTAGAATATTGGTATTGCAACCGTTCAGGTAGTTACCAGAGTGCATTACAAAGTCGAAGGCGAAAGTTAAAATCTCAAGGAATTCTTAAAATAAATAATAATTGTACATCTTCAATAACTCTAACTGTAAATAAAATTGATGGAACTGTTCAAGCTGTTATACACCATACACATTATGGACATGAAGCCGAACTTATACACTTACGAATCCCTAAAAGTGATAAACAAGAAATAGCTTCTAAATTATTACAAGGTGTCAATATTGAAGATATATTGTCATCATTTAAAGAAGATCGATTATCTAAGCAAACTGAACGAAAACATTTAATAAAACGAAGAGATATATTAAACATTTCAAAAAAGTATAATGTTAATATTATATTGCCCAAAGTGCAACCATCAAAAAATAAAACAAATTATGAACTGGTTCAAAAAGCAGTTGAACCTCCTGTTATAGACTCGTTACCAAATACGACAGAGTCTAACAAAAGACATTTTATTTCTTCTCAACTTGCATTATCTTGTGTAAGACAAATTCATGAAAATATTTGGAGAATTTCTATGGGAAATGTTTTAGTTTCAACAGTTTCTTCCAACAGTTATAATCAAGAAGTTTATTATGTCACTAAAAATGACGTGGTATTATGTTCTACTAATTATTGTGATTCTTATTGTAACTATTGTAATATTTGCTACCATGCATACTCTTGTACTTGCTCAGACTTTTTATCAAAAAAAATTATTTGCGAACATGTTCATTTAACTGAAATATTTCAAGCAAATCCGGAGACTTCTCAAAATGAAGATCATAGGGAAAGACATGTATATGGAAATGAAGATCATACAAAGTATACTCAAAATTACACAGAACCTCCTAATTCACAAAAACCTATTCAAAATGGAAACCAAGATCATACAAAGTATACTCAAAAATGCACAGAACCTTCTAACTCACAACCTATTAAAAATGGAAATCAAGATCATACAAAATATACTCGAAATTACCCAGAATCTTCTATTTCACAACAATCTATTAAAAATGTTAAATTATGCAATCACTCAGAAAACAATGACATATATAAACTAAATATGAGAGCAGAAAACCTTAAAAATGTAAAAACAAGATTGAAAAAATTGATGATGAATACATTACGAAAAATTGATGAATGTAATAACAGTGATTTATTAGAAAACTTGGAGAAACAAATTACTAATATATCATGTAATTTAGAAAGAGAATTATTAGAAAATGCTACTAAAAAAAGAAATGAAGTACAAAATATGTTACCAGAAAAAAAATATTGAAGTTTATTAATATGTTATTTAAACTGTGTTTAAAATGTTCCATGAATAACTATTGCATCAATAAGACTTGAATCATGGAAATAACTAATTTTTAAATCCATTAAATTTGGTGTTATTCTGTTTTTAAGTTACTTTAATGTGTGAATCAATTATATTAGTGTCACTGGAATAATGTTATTGTATGAGAAAAAATAGGTTTTTTTAACCTACTTAATAATATATGTACAAACTAATGAACTCTTATATTTAAATTAATTTATTATATAAGAAAAATTGTATTAACATACATCGTATTTATTTACAGAGAAATACACCTTAATGTTGATCAATCCTATCCAATGCTTCTATAGTTAGAACACTATCTCCTCTTATAACCTGTAAAAAAAAAGTTTATTTAAATACGCATATTTATTAAATTTGCATTATAAGAAAAGAAAAACATACCACCATCCCAATACTATTCACAACACCATCTTTGATTTTTTCTACTGTTTCATCCAATACAAGGTTCATAAATGGATCAAAGCCACGTAGCACGCCTGCTACCTGTCTATTCGCATTTAATTTTACTGTAATAAAAATGAATTAATTATTAAAAAAATATTCGATATTATTACAATTTTAGTTATAATAGAAAAGCATTCATACGTGACAGTTTTTTATCCAAGTATCTGAAAAAAGAAATATGCATAAGTTAAATACTTATTAATGTTTTTAATATTTATTACTAGATAATATCACAAGGGTCTTAGTAATTGTGTAGAGCGTTAATCAGCTTACGCCGCCATATAAAACTCTTTTATGTTATGAATAATAAAAAGATATGATTAAAACTGAATCAAACACGACATGCCATAAATAATATTTAAACAAGTCGGCGACTTCTGTATTTTAAAATGTACCTTTTTAACTCTGGCGGATGGGCTTTACTCATTTTGTCAGATTTCCGGAATTAAATAATATTATATTATTTTAATAGTTGACAGTTGTAGACGGTAAGTGAATTTTTAATTTGAGATTCGGCATGAAACGATGTTTATCCAAGTTTATAGGTGTACACTGTTTACTGTTTAGGTCTGGCCTACGATTGGTCTAACTAATATACCAAGTGTCTCCGGTTCGGTATGAACCATGTAGTGGTACAGAATACCATGCAGAATACCACTTTATCCTATTCATGGAATAAACAGTATACAGGACGTGTATAATTGAAGAATCAATAAACTTGACGTCTTTACTTATTGAAATCATAATAACTATAAAAAAGTATTTTTTTCAACAATATTAATCAAGAATTAGAACCACACAGCCTTTAATAAAGTTTCTTTTATTTAGTGCATTATATTTTTGTTTTTTTCATATTTTTATGATAATGAAAATTGATAAGAGATAATAAATATGTGAGGGTTGGCTAAACCGCAATCAAAAACGTGTTGTGTGTCAAATAAGGTTATGATAATATTTTCTTTCCTCTTTCTGAAATATTAGAACGCAGACGCGTATTGCGTTGTAAAAGTTATTATTGAGCCACAACCACTAGATTGAACTTTTAACTTTTATATATAAAATAATATTTAATTTAGTATAATATAATTTAAAATCACTCAGACAATATGGTTTTATACAACTTCAAAAAGATCACGGTCGTACCTACCGCAAAGGTAAAATTTTATATAACATAATATTATTAATTTCTTATAATATAGTTTATAACTAATTTAACACTAATGGTTTATTTTTGTTTTAGGACTTTATTAACATTATGCTATCAAAAACTCAACGTAAGACACCAACGGTTGTTCATAAACATTATAAAATATCAAGAATACGTTCTTTCTATACGCGTAAAGTACGATATACGCAACAGAATTTCAATGAGCGCCTGTCTATGATCATTCAAGAATTTCCTAAATTAGATGTATGGATTATTTTGAATTATAATAACATTTTATGTATTATATAATTAATTAATTTGGAAATGTCCTGCAGAATATCCATCCGTTTTATGCTGATTTAATGAATATACTTTACGATAAGGACCATTACAAACTTGCTCTTGGACAACTTAATCAAGCTAGACATCTTATTGACAAGTAATTATATTTCATAATTATAATTTTGTTGACATGAAATTTAAAAATACATTTTGCTCATAGTGTTGGTAAAGATTATGTTCGTCTAATGAAATTTGGTGATTCATTATATCGCTGTAAAATGCTGAAGAAAGCAGCTCTTGGACGGTAAATTATTTTTATCTTCTTACAGAAAGAAAATTAGAATTGTTGATTTATTTTATATATTTTCATCATAATATAGGATGGCTACAATTATGAAAAGGCAAGCTCCCAATTTGGTTTATTTAGAACAAGTTCGTCAGCATTTATCACGTTTGCCCTCAATTGATCCATACACTAGAACATTAATATTATGTGGTTTTCCTAATGTTGGAAAATCCAGTTTCTTAAACAAGGTAAACAATGTTAAACTCATAATTTAGTAATTAATAATTTTAATTTGATTTTATATATATTTTATATAGATAACCAGAGCTGATGTAGAAGTCCATTCATACGCATTTACAACAAAAAGTTTGTATGTTGGACACACAGATTACAAATATTTACGTTGGCAAGTGGTGGACACCCCAGGAGTATTAGACCATCCTTTAGAAGAAAGGAATGTCATTGAAATGCAAGCAGTTACTGCTTTGGCCCATTTGAGAGCTGCTATTCTTTATTTCATAGATGTTTCTGAACAATGTGGTCACTCAATTGCTGAACAAGTTAAGCTTTATGAGTCTATAAAACCATTATTTACCAACAAGGTAAGTGTTTCACAAATATTTGTTCTTTGAAACAATTATACCCTAAATGGTTTTGAATTTCACCTTTTTATATTTCATAAAAATTAAAATGCTAAAAATATAGTACCTATTTAAAAAAGGCAATGGGTTATCTTAATATATGATCTTTAGTGGCTTCTACTGATTTAATTTTTATTAAAATATCTTATATGTTTTATTATACCTTGTTTACTATTGTTATAGCCATTATTAGTAGTATGTAACAAAGTTGATGTTACACCTATGGATCAGCTAAGTGAGGCTGGCCGTGAAGCATTAAGTATTTTTGAAAAAAATAATGTCCCATTGTTGTCAATGTCTGCTGTAACCGATGAAGGTGTTATGGAAGTTAAACAGCAGGTAATTTTGATATTATTTATTTTATTCTTAATATTTTATGTTTATAATTTTGTGTTTATTCTTAGGCATGTGATACTCTCTTAGCTTATCGTATTGAAAACAAAATCCAAGCTAAGAAAGTTGATTCAATTTTGAACCGTTTACATGTAGCACTGCCTAAAACTCGAGATGAAAAAGAACGACCTGCTTGTATACCAGGTATATTTCTTATTAAATTAGTTTTTAATTTTTCAATAACATATTATTTTATTTATTTACATAGAAAGCGTATTACAAAAACAAAGATTGTCTGAGCTTCAAGAATTTAAGAAGAAGCTTGAGAAAAATTTGGAAGATGAGCTCGGAGATGATTATATTTTGGACCTTAAAAAGAATTATGATCTACCTGAAGAATTTAGACATGACATAATACCAGAATTTTGGAACGGAAGAAACATTGCTGATTTCATTCATGCGGAATTATTACAGGTACTCTATTTAAAAAAAAACTTAAAATGTTTGAAAAAAATAATTTTTTCTAACGTTATCATAAAATCTTGATCTAACTGAACATTTTATAATAATAAATATAGAAAGTTGAAGAACTTGAAAAAGAAGAAGCACTTAGAGAAGAAGCTGGATATTATGCTGTACCTAAAATTGAAATTGATGAAACATTGCGAGAAATTAAAGAACTGGCTCAAAAGATTAGAGATCGGAAGATTATTAATCGTAATGAAAGTAGAATGACTCGTCAATCTAATAAACCTACAACACCTAGAACTGCCCCAGCTCAAGCCCGAGGTCGCAGTGCTACAGACTTTAGAAGCCGTATGGAAGATCTTGGTGTTGACATGGAAGACACTGAAGAAGTAATAATATTTAATTTTTAATGTACTTAGGTACTCTAACTAAGTGTGTTTTTTTAATTTTTAGGCTCATTTCACAAAAACTCGTGGTCGTGCTCGTTCATTAACAAGGTCCCAGTCAAGAACAAATGCCAAAAAACCACGTTTGGGATCTATGCATCGCTCAGTATCTACATCAAGAAGCCAGAGTAGAGTACCAAGAAACCAATCTGGTGTTCGTGACTCTTCGGTATGTGTTATTTCTATTTTCATCATATATAGATTACAAAATAAATATGAATGCTCAAATTATTTATTCAATTTATCAGATGCAATTGAAACTTAAACAAGTGGCGCATAAAGCAATTGCGAAGAAAGTTAAGAAGCAAGGTCTCAAAGGTGAAGCCGATAGATTCATTGGAACCAAACGACCTAAACACTTGTTTGCCGGTAAAAGAGGCATTGGTAAAACAGAAAGACGTTAATTTATTTACGTTATACTTTTTTTTAAATAATTGGAATTTATTTTTAAAACAAATTTTTAAAAGTATTTTGAATAAATTTAAAAAAAAATCGACATGTTATATGAATATTATTTTATCCGTTTTATATATTAATGGAATAGTACAACATAAAATTGATTTGTATGTTAATTTCATGTATTTTGACTAATAAACATGGATAATCGTATTCAATTAAATTATTATTGATATTTTTATTTTGCATGTGTTTTGTATTTAGTGTTAACTTTAACATTACATAAGTAAGAATAGTACAACTTTATTAACTAATCTAGTAATAGATAATATATAACCATTGATTTAATAAACCTAGTATATTTAATCAATAATATAACTAATATTATATAATGCATACACAGTGCAATAGTTACAAATTACAATTCAAAAATTATTATTCGGATGTGATTGCCAAAAACAAGATTTTCCTTCTTAATAAAAATGTCTGATATTCCGTATGTATTTGTGTATCAGTGTGTAAAAATGCATAAAAACAACTGAATATTATGAATAATACAAATTACAGTTATTGTTTATTAAGGCATATTATTTTTGTTATGTATAAGTTTTCATCAATCAAAATAATGAAATTTAAAAAATCATATGTATAATTTTATTTGGTTTTTATAGAGTACTTACCTAAATTAAGTCTATTGTTCAATTTTTAATATAGGGTTGTATTACGTCATTAACTAGTGTTTTTTTTTTATACGGTCCTGTAAACAAAATATCAAAGATTGTAAATGTACTACCCCTGTCTTTGAAATTGGATTAGATACCTCATCTGTGGGCAGAAACTGTGTGTAAAAACATTTTTTGGACTTATTCTTATTCATACCATTAATTGTATTAAGAGGACGCTACCCATACATTTGTTGTCTCTGTCTTACACACGCATGACATAGCAAATTGTCGTTCACTAATTTCAATAGTAAGCTGTTAGTTTTGAAACTAGAGTGAATTAACATTATAAAATGTTTCGATAATAACATTATCTGTGCTTAAGTGTTGGCTTTTATTTGATATTTTAATTTTCAATCGAGATATGAGCATTTTTGATTTTTCACACACACATATCTTACTTTAAAACGAGAATATTAAAAAATGGCCAAAACTTAGGCACAGATAATATTCTTACCTAAAAGTATGATAATAGGTCAATTCACTCTAATATTAAAAGTAACAACACACTATTTAAACTAGCGAATGGAAATTTGCTATGTCGTGCGTGTGTAAGACGGAGACAACAAATGCATGGGTAGCGTCCTCTTAAGAATAAGAAGTTTGATACTTATTGAATTTTTATCAATTATTATTATTTTTATAGACATTTTGGAGTAGGAAATATGGTGTATCTGTTTTCTATTGTTATTTATTATTAGGTAATATAGTATGTGTGTACTCATGGAAGCTGGGCAAGTTAGTCATTTTTTTCAACTAGTTGAAGTTAAGTTACTTTAATAAAAAAACTAACAAGTTAGAATATAAATTAGTTTCTGAAACTGTCCATATTTCTAACTTAGTTAGTTAGAAGTTAGTTTGGTAAAAATAGTAAGTTAATAGTAGGTTAGTAATAGTAAGTTAATAGTAATAAGTTACCTATCTAACTTAAATTATTGATTAAAACTGAAAAATTGAATTAAATACCTAGTAATTTGACCAAAATATTCTAATTGAAATTTGATTTTTTAATATTTGAAATTAATTGATATATCACTGATTAGTTATTAGAACATAAAAATTAGTGAAAAAAAATATATAACAGTATGACAACTTAAAATATTAATATTAAATAATAATACATAATAATAATCTATATGACTATATTCTAGTATACTTTATTCAAAATATTTGTTAAATTTAAACAAAAGTGACATTTCAAAGTTATCATCAGACATAGACATATTTCATTGAATAATTGGCCTTCTGCACTAAAAAGTCTCTCGATGTGAGCACTAGAGGGAATACTTGTATTAAACTTAATATACAATTTTTGTATTTCTTCAGAAAATGTTGTTAATGATAGTTTAGGAGAAGAGTTTGAATATTAACACTAATTGGTTAAGCCACCCACATAGATACTTTTTATATCTAGTAGATAACAACATTATACAGACTACTCGGAAAAGCCGTGGTTCCTGTGCGTGCATTATTATAAACACTAATAGGTAATTAATAATATATATGAGCCAGTAATCTATATAGGCATATAGCCATAATGTCATGATTGAGGAACAGCTTTTGGAATTTTGGAATAAAAAAAAATAATAATAATAATAACTAGTTAGTGTTCTTTCTAACGAGTTAGATTAGACTATTTTACACTTTTTTAATTAAAAAGTAACTTTCTAACTAGTTAGTGCCCAGCTTTGGACTACTCAAGTAGGTACACTATATGTCTATATGTATAGTAACTGTTAATTTACAATATACAATATACCGAATTTAATAAGAAATAATAAAATATAAAAAGTACCTCTTCTAAATTATCATGGTACTGATGATGAATGAACTTGAACTATATTTATGAAAGGAGATTATTTTACGAAAATGTGATCGGAGATTTATTTTTTTGTATCTATAATACCTATTTGTACCTAAATATACACTTAGATAAGTAGGTATATAGGTATTTATATATGCCATATCCATGCAAATGTGCAATGTATATTATAATAAAATTACATATATAGACACGTCCAATACACAATTATTAGCACCTCCATAATTTGTGGAATAGGTAAGTAAATGGAAAATTAGGTTCTTCAGCATCCCCAGTTTTTTCATTGAAATCGCGCCACTGGTGTACTTATTCATGTATTTATCATATATTAATATACCTATTGTTAATTATTACATAATTTATATTATATACATACCTACATGGTGGTTTTTTTTATCACAAACCACTCATTATTTCAAAATGTATTAATGTTTTTGAAAATATTTTTTATACATGGTTTCCAGATGTCTCAATACAATAGTTTTTAAAAATTATATTTTTTCTATCCTTGAATTTGTTTAAGTTTTTACTTTTTTGAATGACAACATACAGTTTTAATTAATTCATCGAAAGCGGAATATTTTTCTAAGGATTTTGATACATAAAAATCTATTTTAGGAATAGAGTTATAAGTATTTAAAGTTTAGATGGGTGGAGTGGTAGGCGCCTACTCTGCAAAACTTTAGCCACGACTCCGCGCATCTAAACTTTAAATACTTAAGACTTATGAGATATAACTCATGAGGTATTGTTCTTACATTTTATTTTTATGTATAGAAATGCTCAGAAAAATATTCCGCTTTCAAAAATTAAATTAAAAATGTATGTCGCTCAAAAAACTAATGAAAAATATTTAAAAAAAAAAAAATGTTCTTTTGTAACAAATTGAGACCACGTGAAACAAATATTTTCAATAGCATTATTTCTTTTTGAAATAATGAGTGGTTCATGATAAAAGAATCATCCATATAGTAGATATAGTACTAAAATATTAATTCAATTGTAGATAGAAGGTATGTATTCCCATGACAAAATAATATAATATGTTTATAATTTATATATATGTTATCATAGGAACAGCTTGTTACCTACTTGCCACTTGGTAACTTCTATTATTTTTATTTTTACTGTCTAACAAGGACTTTTGCAGCTTCTACCAAGTTCCTCCGTAAGTATTCCACTTTATGTTTACTAAGTAGGTATAATTTATTTATTTAAGTTTTAAACGGGCCTGGCCGAATTACATAAATTTGTTTATTTGTTGGTTTATTATCTGCTCTGATAGTCTGGTGGACATATTTTGTGTTACAAGTTGTGACCCACCATTTGAGTATAATAAATAACTTATTTAAAAAATGTAAGTCATTTAAGGCATTTTTGAATTTAAATTGAGTGGCATTTTGAGTATTTTCAAGGAGAATCTAAATAAATATGTAATTATTTCAATGAAATTTTTAGTTGTGTCACCTGCTGACACTGTTGTTATCTCATTTGTGTCTTTTGATCCAGTGATAGTGTTTTTCCTTTGAGTTTAAAATAAAAAAAAAACCAGGACACTTTTTATTGTTACATTTTAGGTGCACATTTTTATAAAAAAATTAATAATGTTTTATGAATTTGGTATACATCGGTATTTGGCGTACGGTTGAAAATGGTGAAGAAAATATTATGCGATTACTGTAATATAACGTTTGCAGACAACTTATCAAGTCGTAATCTACATTTCAACAGCAACTCGCACAAAAAGAACAGAAGAAATTATTTTTCGCTGTATAAAGGTACGTTCAGTTTTAATAAGTGCACGAATGTATACAATGTCAATGTTAAAGTATAATTTCAGACGCAATAACATTATTTCTCGAGGAACGTCAAAAACAACCGTGTCGTCGATTTAGAACTACTGGACAGTGTCAATTCGGTTCTAACTGTAACTATTCTCATTACACCTTTGAACAATTAATTAGTCTAATCAATCAAGGTAAATTGTATTTCACACTTTCCTTGATTTATGTATTTTATATTTGTTACACGATAAAGCATGGTTCACAGTTAACAATTACAATGGTTGAAGCCTATTTACTATATTTGCATAAAAAAATCTCTGTATATTTTATTAGGTAGAGAGTGGCACCATGAAAGTAAATATTAGTCTAGTTTAACCATTAACTATTAGTTACATATAAGTCATCATTTTAATTTATTTTTTTTTCTATTATTTATGTACACGAATGTGTGAGTGTGTGTCTGTGAATGTGTATAAATATATATACATATTTATATTTCGTGTAATTACTAATGTGTGTACACTTTTATAAAACCAAATGGGTAATTTAAATATAGTATATTGACTATTCAACTTTGGGTTATTATATAGATAGGTTCCAAAAGTCATGATTTCAAGGATAACATTTTTTCATTTTTCCAATTAGGCAATAATTTTTACTACAAAACAATCAATACTTTTAAGGTAGAAAGTGTAGTGTATCGATATCGAATGTTCAAGAAGTTAAATGTGCAATATGCAAGCAAGCGTACCGACCCGTATCGGACTTCTTAACTTAAATACGAGTCGGTACGTATTAAAAATCTTAACTTTGTCTAACAAATAAATACAGAATGAATACAGTAAATAATTTTAAATAATTTCATTTTGATTTTTCTCTTAAGGTATTATAAAAACAAAAAGTTAATTACAAACAATTCTGTTTTTAGGTTGTTAGGAAGTAATCTACCTTATATTTTACTCTAATTTTTATTAAATACTTAATTTAAGTTATTTTTCGTACCACGGCTATATAATTTATTTCTGTTCCTAGTTATATTAAGTATATATTAATTATTATTGAATCAAGCATTAATATTACTTTATTTCAAATTTTTTTACATATTATTATAAAAAAATGTAGTTATTTTGTTTTTTGTTGATAGTAATACCCAATGCAATACACTTTTGAACCTTAGGAAGGGATTAATTATTCAAATTGGATCCTTTAACTATTTATTAATTTACATAATATTATGTTACTTCATAAAGAAGTAGGCTAATTTGGAGACTAAACATTTGTCTACTATTAAGCTTTGTCAAATTATATTCAGTGGTATTAATTTTGATTTTTTACTGTATATTTTATTTATACTTTATATAGTTTTATTTCAAACAATTTTATACTAGATTAAATATATACATAATATTGCCTTTTATTTAAATATATATGGTATTATATTAAATATAATTTCTGGTATTTAGTATCCCTATTCCCTGCTCATAAGGTATTAAACAAAATAAACCAATAACATAAATAATAAATGAATATAGGAACTATATACATTTAACCTTGGAAGCTACTAAAAATTCACTAGGTAGTAACAATTATAATAGTAAATCATTATATTGATATTTTATTATATTATTTAAACTAATGCATTTTTTTCACAATGTAAATATAATTACACCATTTATAATTGGGACTTGTTGGAATAATATGGATCTTATTAATTAAGATAAAAATATATTTAACTTGAAATCTACCTACATAATAATGCCCATTGTTAAGTATGCAAACATTTTATAAGTATATTTTTATTTAAAAACTATTATAGAATAAAGATCATATTTATTTGGAAAGTATTACCTTTAATCTCTTAAATCTAAAAATATAAATTTCTTGATACATTTAATGCCTTCATATTTTAACTAAGTTTCAAGTTGAATATAAAAAAAAATATTAATGTATATCCATTGAAATTATTAGTTATGATTTTATGGATATTGTTTATGAGGAACTTAGTTATTAATCAAATTAAATACATTGATTTAGTAAATTATTTTGTAATCGAGGAAGCGGAATTTTGTTTCCTGTAGCCTTGTTTTATTTAGAGGATGTTCCACAAAGATAATAGTATCACTATTTCACGTGCAAAATATAGTAACAATTTTATGTAGTTATATGAATTAAAAATTATAGAATAAAACATATAAGTACATTATAATTATAGTAAACATTTTTTTAGGCAACTTGTGGTATTTTATTCTATTATATAAAGTATAATATTCCATAATATAATTTTTTTTAGTTAGGTATCTTTTTTTATCAGTTACTTTAAAATAATATACGTTGTTCAAAATATAGTGTTTAGAAAAAATTCATGGTATTATGCATTCAGATATATTATTTTAGTTATAGTTGTTTTACTTCTAATATACAAGAGATCTTTGTTAATTACATTTGCTATATCCTATATGCCATATGTGTGCAACAGTGATATAAAAAAAATCTTCATGGATCATCTGGGGAAAGATATTGGGATGATACCTATGACACCAACTGTGGCCATAAAACATTTTTTTTATATTCCCTATTTATATTGAACAAATAATATCCTATAAAATATTTTATTTATTTTTTCAGAAAACCAAAAAAAAATTTGTAGACAAGTGGAAAACATTAATTCAATTCCAACAGTTGATTCTTGGTTAATAAAGTATCAACAGAGTTTATACACTAGAAGCACAGGCAGTGAAACAAATACCAAAAACTTACAATTAAATTATCAATATAGAAATTTACCATCATTAGCTCCTATCACTAATTTTGATAAACTAAAGAGTATAACTCTAAACACTTGGTCGTGAGTGTAATATTATCTAACAATTAAAGAAACATTTTAATCAATTAATGCTCTATATTATTTGATTACTCAGGAGTTTCCAAGGATGACATCTATAGTTCATCAAAAAAACGGAACAGACTTAAACAACTCAATTTCTTCATCTACATTGAATTCTAATTCCAATATGATCTTCTACAAGTCTGAGTTTCATGAGCAGTCTGAAAACAATGCTCTACCAAACAAACCAGTTCAAGACTGTTTGACTGATAATCCTAAACTAAATATTTCTATTAGTAATGTAGTAACAAACTTCAGTTTAAAATCACATTTAAACTTACGATACTTAGCTCTAAATGGTCACAATATAGAATACAGACGTGAAAATGGAATGTTAACAATGAAACTACGTAAGCCAAATGCCACAGCCACTATTTGGTCTAGTGGGAAGATTGCTTGTACAGGTTCTACATCTGAAACACATGCTAAAATTGCATCCAGACGTTTTGCTAGAATCATTCAAAAACTTGGTTATACCAATGCTAAATTTAGCAGTTATAGGATTGTCAATGTTCTTGGATCATGTTCATTACCGTTTCCGATCAAAGTCATACAGTTTTCGGAAAAGTATAAAACTATTGCTCAGTATGAACCCGAGTTACATCCTGGTGTTACTTTTAAGATCAAAGAATTAAAAGCTACATTGAAAATATTTTCAACAGGCAGTATCACAGTAACTGCTCCAAGTGTAGGCAATGTTTACCAGGCAATCGAGCAAATTTATCCCATGGTATTTCCATTTCGTCGCGAGAAAACCGCAGAAGATGAAAGAGTAATTCGCAAATTAATGACAAAAAAACGTAATTTCACTGAAATTGATGAAAATGTATCAATTTATAACTCGGCAAACAGTGTAACAAAACGAAATTGTGATGGATTAGCCATTGGCATAGTTGAAAACAATTTAGAAAATATTATCAAACAAAAATATGAAAATGATCTCTGAAAAATATTTCAGTTACCCAAACTGAACACATACAGTTTAGCACATAACAGCAGAATTTTTTTTTATAATTTTTTTCAAGTCTTAAATGTTTAAAAATAAATCATAACTTAAAATGGAATTATTAATATTTTTAAAATGATCATTATGATAAATGTACAAAAATTAATTTTTTTTAGCATTTTACTTTAGTTGTAAGCTAATAAAATCTAGATAACTAGTCTTTGTGTTTTACAAAATGTACATGTATACATGTAATATTTATATTATATCTATATATTTTTTTTTTGTGTGTTAATGTTCCTCGTTAGTTACAAAAATAATTTTGCTTTTAAGCTTTTTCCTCATATTATTATTTTTTTTTTTTTTGTTCCATTAGTTATAAAAATAAACATTTTTATAAAGTTTCCAAATAATTTCTCATGAATTTTAGTATGAACAGCAGTAATTAAAGCAATAATAATAATTTTAATATTAATTTTTTGTTGTAAATGAATAAATAAGAAGATTTGTTGCTTTTTATATTATTGGTGCATTGGATATTATTTTGCATAAAAAAATTCAATTCTTTGGGAAATTAACAAATTAATGTCATTATCATATTTATGTTTTTTGTGCATATGTGCATTAGTTATGATTATTTTTAGTTGATAAATAAATAATTATTATAGGTTTTATTTTGCTCTGCTTATTATTAAAATAATAAAATAAATTCTTGTGATCTATAAAAGTATTTTTATTTTTTAACATATATTTTATATCCTAAAAGTTCCTTTATCAGACAATTTTGCATTTAATTAAAAAGTAAAAACAATGTCAATATCAAACGATCAGCTGTTTGTATATCATATTGGTTGTTATATATATTTATAGATTTAAGGTTACGATAACTTTAATACCATAGAACATGTAAAATAAAATTAAACATTTAGTCTTGAATCATCTAGACTGTGATTTAAATATTGAATTATTAAATAAGTAATAACAATTAACGAATCATAATAATATGAAGATCTGAAAAACTCCGTTAAAGAATGGGTTGTAAACACAAAATGTGACATTAATGGCTATGATACAGGTGAATTGTTAACAATACTAAATAGTTTTCAAATGCATTATTAATTATTAAACTCGATTTATTTGGTTTACAATGTAGGACATATTATATTTTTGTGTTGAACCTTTTGAAGGTATAAGACTATACCTATATTATAATTAAATTCTGATGGTGGAAATCAAATTAATGTACCTATTTAGAAATTTAATAAAATAACTCAAAGCTGTATGCTTGATAAGTGGAAAGTCAACAAAAACAATCAGAAGTTGTAGAAGAAAGAAGCCTACCTATTAAACTAGGTAATTAAATATTTATAGTCATGCCTAAAAACTAAATTAAGTATTTTAAATATTTAATTAGTACCTGTTAATTATAATTGATACCTACCTACCTATTTTAAGCATAACATTTTGAATATTGTAAGTAATTTAATCATTTACTATGTACCTATAATTCTTTAGGTTCCATATTTATATTCTGATACATTAATCTGCCCAACATTAATGATTTTACAAATATTACATAATTCAAATTGGATGTTTTAAGTCTTAATTTAAGGATATTGTACAGAAATGTTCCTACTGATAT